AAACCATTTCCAAAAGTCTTGCCAAGATAACTGCAGGGACTAATCCAGGCAGTTTCCAGGAGTCAAGACTGACTCCAAAGAATGACACACAAAAACCTTAGTAGACACTAAAGGTGCTGCCCAGCATGGCCAGGGCACTGAGGCACAAGGAATGGACTGTAGGAAAGGAACCTTAAAGAGGAATGGCCTGGCAGTGGTGGCCTCCCACCTCACCTTACTTGGTGGTCTCCAGCAGGGCCTGGTCAACCATGCAGATGGAAGATGGGCCGGATGACTGGAGCTGCCCACAGGAGGGAAGGAGCAGGTGGCGGAAGAGGAGGGCCAGGTCCAACCATCGCACCTGGAGAGTCTCTCCGGCGGGCAAAGAGTAGGAAAGACCATGAGGGAGGAAACAAGTCAGATCTTTGCTAGGCAGAAGAAGGAAAAATGGAGAGAAAGAAAAGAGAGGAATTTTCCAATACAAGGAGAGAAAAAGGAAAAGAAACAAAAGATTCAGAAATATCACTGCCCGGCAAGGAGAGAGAAGAAAGAAAATCAGGATATGGGATGGATTTCCTAAATTATGTTCTAGATACAATGTTGAAAACAGTTACTTATCAACCCAATGATAAAAATATTGGTGTTCTGGTTAATGGAAAATGCTGTCCACTGGAAAGAGGTCAGTTCCACAAGTTTTGCAGTGAACTTTTCTTTGAATTTAAGACATTTATATTTAATGGCATTCCATGATCCTCTCTCTTTTCCATCATTTTTGATGCCCTCAAGACCTTTGCATGAGTGTATGAAAAGGCTTCAGGGTTGTGGCCTCATCCGGTATTTGTGACTGAGTTTGAGATCTGCCCTAGAACCCCTTGACTTCTGTTAATCTGATCCTTATATTTCCCTTTTTTTTCCTCCTAACGCTGAGCTGCCTGCAGCCAGACCACAAGGGCCTTTTTTCTCCAAAGCTCCAGCTCATAGACGGGCACTTGCAAGTAAAATAAGTAGATTGATTGGCACTTGCACGGGTAGCATTAAAACCCACGCACAACCCAAAGTTGCCATGATGCAGTCGGACTGAACATCACCTGTGTCCCATATTTCTGCAATGCCCCATTTCCTACAACTCTCAGCAAAAGACATCTCGAAGGGGTCAGCTTCCTTGCTGCATCCTGTATCTGCATATTCAGAGTTTTCTTATTTGGAAGCTGTGAACAGCTATGCATCAATAGTTAAGTGCACATTCAAATTTGCAGAAAGCTGCCAGGTTTCGCTTTGTACCATACAGAGCAGTGTTTCTCAACCTCGGCAACTTCAACTCCCAGAATTCCCCAGCCAGCATGAGGTTGAGAAACACTGATATAGAGGTTGCACCAGCTTTTGTTCACTGAAGGAGCCCTTGAAATGTGCAATTATTCCTGGGGTGTCAAAACTTTAGCAGGCCACTGGAGGGTTGAGCTCCTCATTTCAGCTGTCCCTGCCCCAGCCAGTATCTTCTGTTCCCAGGCTTATGCGATTTTTATCATTCATAAGCACTAGAAAAGTGCTCCTCAAAAATGGAATTACAAGAATCTGTTGCAGATCCAGTGTGGCACTGCAAAAAAGCTAAGCTTAGTCATACCACACCTCTGTACTTGCTTATTTATTTACACTTCCTTGGAAGTTACAAGCAGTCTCTCAAGTAAAATAAGTGCTGCTTTGGAGCTTTCATCAACTCTTACTCAGTTCAGCTTGCAAGCTTTGATCTGCGATATTAGAGATAAAAACAGGTTGGGCAGACTATCATACAGGCTCAGAAGGGCCTTTCAGCTTCACAGCTGGCACTGCCCAAGTGTTGACAGAAGTAGGCAGGAATGGAGAGGAAGAAGAATCTGCAAAGGCAACATGAAGAATAATCTGGAATTAGAATGCAGATGGCTCTGCTCAACCAGGATTACCGAGAGTGTTGCAAATCTGGCACCTGCATTCACGCAACATGCTTAACTGGGTTAGTTCCATCTTGGGTAGTTGCTTTCTCAGTTGTGTGAACCCGGTTTGTTTATTGTTCAATCTATTGTGCAAATCCAGAAAAACAAGTTCATTTAGTACCCAGGTTAGGTGTTTTGAAAGAACACAGCCAATTTGCTCTTAGGGTGCCCAATGTAAGTAGTGTTATCCCTCTGAAGCATATAAAAAAGGCGGTGGTTCTTTCCAATCACACAAGGATATTTTGGTTTTACATAGACACAAATGTCCTGGGCATCTTGTTCCATCTGACTTCATTTTTTAAAATGCGTGTTTTTAATTAAGAATAAATTAAGCCAAGTTCTAATCCCTGATCAGCCACAGATGCTCCCTGGAGGTCTTTGAGCCAGTCCCTCCCCCAGCTCCAGAGCCAGGCTGGTGTAGTGGTGAAGATATTGGACTAGGAGTGGGGAGACCCAGGTTCTGCTCCCTCCTCAGCCATGAAAGTTCCCTGGACTTTTCCTCCTTCTCATCCAACTTCCCTGAGGGTGGGAGCACTGTATATATTTCCTTGAGCTCCTGAATGAAAGCTGGAATATAAATCAGATCAATAAAGTCAGAAGTCAAACTCTTCCCTTGCCAGTATCTTGGTTTTCCAGCAAGTGCCTGAGTTTCACAAAGACCTCATGCCCTCTTGGAAAATAAGACTGGTGGAGAACTTGTAGGGAAATGTTCCTACCAGCCCAGAAGGAAAGGTCAAGGCAACCTACTTATGTCTGCAAGCATGGCTAAAATCACATCTATCTTGTTCTTTGTGTCTTCGCTGGAACAAATTGTTCAAACTTTATAGTTCTCCTTCATTAGCCAATCACTACTGTAGAATGATAATCAAATTGATAGGTGAGGCATAAATCCAATTAATTATAATAGAGTAGAAATGATTATGAGGATGACAATGATGATGATGAGTCCTACCATCCCAAAAGTAGAAAGCCTGTATCAAAATTGGTCTATTTTTACCTCCTAATAAAAAAAAATCTTGATCAGGATTCCAGGCTGTCACCCAGCCATGTCCTATTCTGGACTATTCTATGCCAGATTCCATTGCCTTTTACCCTCATCCCAATGTCCCCTTATTGCTCAACATGGCCAATGAACATACCAGATTCCATTAGTAGTTTGGGTAAGTGATAAGATTGCTTTCCTAATTCCATCTCGCCCGCCATATTTCTGAACATCTTGGGGATCTCCAAGAACCTATGGAACCTTTCTCTTGTTCCTCAGTGGCTCCATTTATGGCTTTATTCCAACCCAATCAGCACTTGCATGGAAATGACAATTTTGCTTGGCACCATTTCAGACAACAGGAGAGAATTGTCTAATTGTCTATAAGTCAGAGCAGGGGTGACTACAGGGAAGAGCTCAACAAAGTCAAGGTGATAGTCATGGTGCAGGTAAAAAAAGTGGAGGCTTCAGTCATGTGGCTGGGACTGCCATCTTGATTTTCTTTGATCCCATCCCACGCAGAAGGGGCAGGAGGCAGGAGAAGGCAATTTCCACCCGTTTTTGTGGCCTTTATGAACTGCCTGAGCTTGCTTGCTGAAAATAAATGGCATTGTTTTTTGCCCTTTTGAAGTTGGAAGCAGATGGAAATTATAAGTGCAAAATTAAGCACATCACCATTAAAACCTGAAAAGCCAATATTCCCTTTGAAAACATCCTTCTCCCACCACGCTCGTGATCTCGATGCATCCTTTCTGTGGCTTTCACGCCATTCCCCAAATGTTAAGTACGGCTCTAAATGAAAGATTTTCTGCATGTAGTACTTTAGCATCTCAGGAAAAAAACAGTCCAGGATTAGACTTCCTGCCAGGGGCGTCTGCCACTGGAGTCAAAAAAGTCAAGATGGCAGCCTGAAGGATTCCAGTGAAGCTCTGTCCATTTGCAACCCGCATAAAATGGGTGGATGTTCGATTGCACTATTAGAACCACCATCTTGACCCTTTTGACCATACCCTGTGGATGCTCCATGCTATTCTGATTCATTATGCGCATTTTTTTTTTTTAAGTTTGCTCTTCAATAATATATTAATTTAAATTGTGCACTAACAACCAGTTACAAAGTCTAAGTGCCGTATCTATGAGCATGCTGGGACAAGAATGGGATACAAAAATCTCTCATCCTAAGACTCTCTCCCTGTATTAATTGTATTATTTTAAGCTAGTTATTGGCTATTGGCTTGCAAAATTAGGCAGTATATATATAAAATTAATTATAATTAATTAATAATGTCTGTCTGTCTATCCATGGTCTGGAAAATTGAGAACCAAAAGCAGGATTTTCCAGTGATGACGTTCAGTGTCCTGCACAACTCATATCACTTCCATGCAACACGCAGAAACTGATATTATTCAAAATAAGTATGTGATGTAAAAGGTTACTTAATATACATACATGGCAAACTGTCTTGGCTTTTTGGTGCAGAATTTAAAGAACACCGTGAGTGTACAAATATCATGGAAAGACATTGGATGTTCTGGGTAGAAAAACAGCCCAGCATGAAATCTGGTCACCTATTGGGAGAGCCAACGATTGCTGCTCAAGCCAGCCCAAATTTTCTAATTTTTACTCCAACTCCCACTGCCATCCAGGGTTGGGTGGGCAATGACATGGAAAATTATGCTTTCAACTGCTGAAAAGCTCACCTTAGACCCACTTTTCTTTCTTTTGGGCACCAGGAAATGGGCTTTTTTTAATTAAAAAAAATAATTGGCCAGGCTTTCCTGCCCATTGAAAAGATCATTTTCATTGTTCACCCCTTTCTACTGAATGAATGCCCCTGTTTCCCTCTTTCAGATTTTACTGCAGTGTTTTGTTGAACCACTTTTATTCATCTCATTAACTATACCCTGGGAGTTTGCACTTGAGCAGTTCACAAATGTTCCAGATAAAATAAGTCAATAGATATTTTTAAAAAAAAAAAAACTAACGTAGAGCGGTGCAAATTCAGGAGCGGTTAAGAAAAGAAAAAACAATGTAATATCTAAATTGTCTAAATTATTTTATTAGTGGCCGATTGTCCAGTTGACATAACTCCCCCTCCCCTCAGTTTTGCCCCCAAAACTGAAATTCAAAAGCTGAGCTATACATGAACAGAAAGGGATGGAAGACCTTTCCGACTAAATACTTATATTTAAAATAAATGCCTTATTTCCTCTGTATTTGGAGATGGACCATTACTTTCTTTTTTTAAAAAATCCCAAATTGTACAGAGTATGTTCGCTCCTTAGGAGACTGTTTGCCGAGAAAGCATCTACTACGAGTGAGAAAATAATAATAATAATAATAATAATAATAATAATAATAATAATAATAATAATAATAATCCAAATAGCTACGACATGGGTTGTTTCTTCCCCCCACTTAAGTGGTTTGGTGTCATGAATTCTTCTCATTGAAATGGGCTTGCAGAGTCCACTTTGCAGACGCTAAAGGCAACTTTGCTACAAAAGTGAATCTGCAGGACGTAGGATTAAGGCCCCCCTGATTAAGAGGTTGCTGGTTTAGTGCTTTGAAAATGCTTCTGAGGTTCAGCTGACATGAAAGAAGCGGGCCCCGAGAGGTGGGGTGCTCTCCGAAGAGGGTGGAACGTCCTCCAGTTCTGGCCAGTTTGGGGAGCCCCCCGCCTCCTGCTCCAGCTTCCTCTCTTTAGACTCCCCAGTAAGGCACAAAGACCCTCCTCTCCCTCACATAAACGTCCGGCATCATCCCATAAGGAGTTTGCACCATTTTCACGCTGTTCCGCCCATACAGCTCCCACTCGTAGTCTATCAGCTGCCTCCAAAAGCCCACGTTGGGGCGTATGACGGGGCGCCTGGATTTCACCCAGTGGTAGGCCTCGTACAGGGTGACGTTTTGGTACTTCATCAGGTACGCGATGCACAGAGTGGCGGAGCGGCTCACGCCGGCCGCACAGTGGACCAGGGTGACGCCGTTCTTCCGGGCAACGCTTTGGATTTTGTCAGCCACGCTGTCAAAGTAAAGGGAGATGGGGGCACTGGGCATATCGGCCACTGGCACCCGGACATACTCAAAGTCGGGGAAGTTGAGGTTGGGGAGTTCGACGGTCGCGTTGATAATGCAGGTGATGCCGCGGGCTAAGAGCAGTTGGCGGTTGGAGGCAACGCTTCCTTTACTGAGGTACAGGAAGGGGGTGATTTGGGCAATGCCACCCATCGTCCCTTCGGAGTACAAGCGAGGTGTTATGAGAGTTCGTGGAAGAGTGTAGGGCCTTCGCGCGGTCATAAGAACGATGGCCTGGTTGCTCAGATCTCCATGCCAGATGGACTCCCTTGGATTCTGTCTTCTTTCCTTTCTTTCTTTTGTTCTTTCTTGATAATCTGCCAAGTTCTGCTTCCCTTCACCTGCCAAATGCAGAGGAATACCAACTTTAGAACACATCTGCATACAGTGGGAAAACAGCTGTCGCTTCAAGTCAAAATTGTCCCTGCCTGGTTTGTATCTGCCAACGCTGATTAACAGAAACAATCCAGCAAAATGTGCCAGGCCCCATGGCAACTGGAAACTATGGGCTTGGAAAATCTATCCTGCTGGCGGCCCACATCTGATCTGGGATAGTAAAAGCAGAAGGGCCCCCCAACAGATCACTGGTTTCTCCGCTCCCTTCTGCAGATGTGAACGTGAATTGTTTTTCCCAGCCTCACTTAAGCCGTTCTTTGCCCATGAAGACAAGAATCCTTCAGTTCTTCTTGGTTATTGGGGGGCAATGGTGTTTCCCTGCACTGTTTTCATCATTTCAGGACCTTCTGTGAACTTCAGGGTTCCCCAAAGGATGCTGCTAACTCCTCATTTTACAATGGCTCCATTTACAAGCCAGTTTTGTTGACACAGAATTCAGCAATAAAGAGGCTGGAATAAGTAAACAGTATTTCTGAATCAACAAAGCTAGATTTGGGCTAATAATTTGTCCTCCTCTCCCCCAGCTCCCCACTGTCCTTGTCTTAATTTATAGACCTTTCAGATTTCTCAAATAAAAACAATGTGCTATTTTTATCCAGAACACATCATCGGCCACAGCTACCTGCCCGCTGTGCGCCGCCACAAGATTGACCCATCCGTCTCAGCTCTGTTCATTTAGGGTAACTTGTTCCCTCTGAACAAATTTGTTCTTTTAACTTAAAAGTACAGGACGAAAAAGATTAGTGTAAACCAAAGTGTTGTCACCGATCAAAATACCTTTCGGCATCTACCGAGTGTGAAAATTGGCAGGTTCTTTATCTACAGTCATCACTGTGTTAACAAAGCATTCCCTGAAAAGTGAAAGTATTACATCATTTTAAGGTGGCTTCACGTGTTTTCTTTCAGGAGTTTTCAGCTGCGATGCCCTTTAGCTCGTCTGCTAAGGAATCCCCTAACTTAGGTGACGTCTATATCTCAATACTGCACCTGTTGGATTTATATCTTCCATGCAGATGCTAAAGGAGAAAGAAAAACTCAACCAATATTTATTTGAAGAAAGCTAACTCTGGATCAGATCTGCTCAAATGTTTGAGTTCAGCCAAGCTCAGGAAGGTGCTGCAAATGTTTATTAACGCTCCAAATCTTGATAGTTAAGTCAACTTCATCTGGACAATCATTCAGACCATGATTGGGAGGATCCAGACTAAACCATGATCTTATGAATGTCCCTTTTTTCTCTCTTCTTTATTTTTATTTCCAATCTTGGTATACGTGCTGTTTACACATCCAACTGACTAAGAAGAATCTGAAATAAATCTTCCTTTCTGAAGTTAGGAGACCTCAAGAACTGCATGGGAATCAAAAGGCCTAGATGGCAGCTTTACTTATGCTTCTGTGGCCATTATCTTGACTGTTTTTATTCCTCTCTCAGACACCCCTGGGAGACCCCTTTGCTTATACATCTAAATCAGTGTTTCTCAGCCTTGGTAACTTTAAGTCAAATGGACTTCAACTCCCAGAATTCCCCATGCTGGCAGCAGGAATTCTGGGAGTTGAAGTCCATACATCTTAAAGTTGCCAAGGTTGAGAAACAGTGATCTAAAAAATCCAGTGTTTGACTATTTCAGGGCAAAACATGCCAGTGCTAGAAAAAGGAGACAACTCTCAATGTGGTTCTTTGGAGTTGCAAAACGAAGCTTCTTGTGTTGATTTTTTGATTATGTAAAGTCGGTGTCCACTTTTAGTGACCATACAGATAGACGTTCTCCAGGAGGATCTGGCCCCAATCTGACCTTTGAAGCCTTGCGATATCACTTATATTGTCAAGGGGCACACACTGCAGGGATAAAATAAAATTATCCTCCCCACCCCCCAGGGTCAGTCTAGAGCAGTGACTCACACAGAGTTATAACAGGCATTCTTCTCCCTACCAGGGTGGTGCTATTTTGGCTACATAAGAATTCCCACCAGTTTGTTGTTAGTTAGCTTTATTGATTGACAGTCAAAAGCAATAAAACCAGTGTGTTGTTAAAATATGGGCTGGGTTAAGGATATAATTGATCATGAGACATCCCTGAAGCATAAGTCATAATCTCTCTTTCTTTTTTACCTTTTTAATATAACCTAAATGTAACCTAAATCCTATGAAGGAGCAAGAGGAGATCAGTTCTTGACTGAGAGGGGAAAAAGCAAATTTATCTTCATGCATTTGTTTTCTGTAAGCAGGATTCCTAAATGTCTTGCTTTTTCCTTTTGGCTATGTGCTGATGGTGAACATTGGAGAGGTGGAGCTGAGATTTCTGGACCAGGTCTGCCATTATGCTACATGCCCCCCCCAAAAAAATCTCCTGTATAAAAAATGTAAGCCATTGGAAATAAACTGCCAAATTAACAGCCATACAGTAGTTTGGTTGTCATGTAGGCCTCTGTTCTGGAAGGCTGATTTCATTCCAAACTGCAGGTGGATAGTGGTTGCAGGACCAAAAGTTTGCATAAGCAACTCATAATGGAGGGCCAAGGGCCCAACCTCGCCCCTCCCAGCTGCCTTGACTAGACCAGCCTGCTCAGAAGGGAGTAGAACCACCATAATACAGAATCTTCAGTTCTCAACCCTCATAGGTGGTCCAGAAGATTATGGTAGTAGCAAGGATGGTTGTGCTTCCTCCATCCAAGTTCTGCTACAAGTCATCCACAAGAGCAAACAATCCAGGTTCTGTTCCATGCCCATGTCTGAATCCAGAATACCACAGGTCCAGGTGATCCATATCTTCTGGAGACCTCTGTATCTTTAGGCCCACCAGCTTCTCAACAACCTTCTCCCAAAAGGTTGGGAATGGAAGGGACTTGTTCATTACTAATGGATCCAAAACTCTCGACCCGAGATGGAGGCAGACCAACCCTTCTTTCAAAGCAGCTGAAATTTCCCCTTCCCTCGAAGAAGGGTTGACCACCACCTGGGTCCAACATCAAGTTCCCTCCCTAGCTACTTTGACCAGTCAGGTGAGACAGGGATCCAGTCCACAAGTGGTGGTGCTAAGATCCCAGGGAGATCCACAGGTATATAAAATTTCCAAACAACATGTCAAGTCATCTCTGCAGATTCCATCCAACTGATTTCCAACTCAGAGGAAATGTGAATAATTTTATCCGTGACATTCCTCACTCAGACTGCTCCATGGGGCACTGCAGCTTTGAGGTGGACAAACGTGATGACACCACTCTCATCATCTCCAGGCTTAGCCTCCCATTTACAAAGTACATTGTATTGAGGTGAATGTAAGAGAATTAGAATTGCATTAAATGGAAAAGAAAGGTCATAGAAAAATAGAAATGTTTCATCCAATAATCAAGGAATCTTGATTATGGGAAACCCCACCACAAGAATGTGGCATGTGAAAAATTTAGTAAATTCTTGAACCAGGGAGAAATTTTCCCATTCTTCCTCCTGGTTATTATATTACCCCCTTTCTCGGGCTTACTAAGGCCCCAATACTGCTGATAAACCATTGTCCAAATGCACTGCAAAATTTCTATCCTTGAAGGATTGGTGGAGAAAAATATACCGAGAGCCTAGTTGTTCACTGGATATTCCAAGAATTCATTCAGTATCTCAGGATTCCATACTCTTAAAATATTGATTCAAAATATTCCATACTTCAAAAGGTATGGAACCAGGGGTGGGGGGGGGGTGGATACGGACACTGAACTAAAAACCAGTCAGATTGTACCACAAAATGTCTGAAATCATTAAAAAGTGATGTTAAATGTAATAACACTTTTTGCACAACCCTTTTAACCTGGTTACTAAATTAACCACATTTCTGCCTTCAGAGAATACACTCAGCTATAAACCAATCAGATGGGCTTGGCTTGAAGAAATGAAAAGCTGAAACACAGAAACGCTATCCAAGCCACACACGTTGTGAGAATCCAGCCTCTAGAATTATACCTGATCTGGCTAAACACGTCGTGTGAACGCAGCCCAAATACGGATGGTTTAGTTTTCATTCAAGATTGTTTCCCACACCTGGAGGCCACCAGCAGTGCGTGCAGGGAGGTAGAAGGATGAAAGCAACTTCACACCGCCACACCACCAGCCTCCCCTTTCTTGTATGCGCGTACGGACATATATAAAGGGGCAGAGTTTATAGCCCAACAGCACAGCTGGAAATGGCAAGAATTGAAACCAAGATCATCTTCACATGGAGCAACACCGCACTATTGGTGAACACAGCTGCTCTGGGCCAGTGGCTTACAGTACAGTCATATCAAGAACAGGAAATGCCTCAAATGCTCAGAGATGCAAAATCTTCTATTGAGGACAGTCACTCAAGGTGTCTCTCATCTAGATTATTGTTCCTCGTTCTACATGGGACTGCCCTTGAAGACTACCTGGAAACTTCACCTGGTCCAAAATGCAAAAGCCGGTGGGATGTTGACCTGTTACACCATTGCTGTGAGAGCTGCTGTATTGATTGGCAATATGTTTCAGAGGGCAATTCACAGTTCTGGGTGCTCCCTTTAATGCCCTAATTGGGGCCTGGGTATGCCAGAGAGTATCCTAGGAGTCAGAAAACACCTGCTTGGGATGTGACAGAAGGGAGTCCAGAGGCAGGTGTTCTCTGTAGCGCATGGTGTCTGGAGCGTATAGTCAAAAAAGTCAAGATGGCAATGGAGGAATCACAGCGCCTGTTTTTATGTGTGTCTCACAGCTGGAGAGCACCAGGCTGGAGAAGGGTGCTGGATGTTGGGCTATCAGGCCAGCATGCAAATAGTTTTAAATATCAATAGCGAGAGTTAATAGTGTTCAAATCATATAGTGTGTGTGTGTGTAGAGAGAGAGGTTTGAACATCAAATAACTATGATTTCCACTGTTCTTTCATCAACAGTTGGGTGTGAGGTTACCACCTGCTGCTCTGTGATTTGCCATTTCAAAACACACAA